TGGATTGAAAACAATCTAACAGCTACTAAAATCCCACTACGCTAATATTAGTATACGGCATCATAGCCATACACTTGGCCCTCACATCATCTCCTTCTCTCGGAATAATGGAAGACCATCAGGGTTCTCTTGTAGACAAGCCAGGATTTGGAGGAACATCAGGAGGAGGCATCGGTAGATCTGTAGGTGGTATTTAACTGCTCCTAATCTCTTTGTATGAAGCATTTTAACTGTTGCACATGCACAATCTCTGAAGGATTGGCCTGCTAGACGTCATATCAAACTTCATAAACTTGTGGTCTAACTTGCCGCAACATTCGATACGGTCCTTTCCACTACACAAAGAGCCCCTTAAATAAACCATGTACCGTAAGATAGGGAAAATGGACTAATACCAAATCATCCACTTTGTACACCGCAGGTGGACGATGATGGGAGTTGTAGTGCCATTGTTGTCCCACTTGTACATGGCCTAAGTGTTCAGCAAACTCTACTTGAACAAGTGGAAGAATGCTCATAAAATACTAATCCCACAATCTAGCATCGGTAGTTCGTGGCAATCGCAAAGGTAAACCCAACTCTGTTGGTAATATTGGATCATGACCATATAGGAGTTTATATGGTGAAGCACCAACAAAACTCTACACCCCTGTGACATATGTATACTGAAGAGATGGCAAATGACCATCCCAATCTGAATGCTGAAAGTTCACATACTTCGTAATCATCCCTTTAATGTCCGAATGAGCTGTTCCACCAGACCATTTGATTGTGGATGATAAGCATTCGTGAAAGTGTGGTGTATCCCCAACCGAGATGTCAAAACATGAAATGCCTCAACCATAAATGCAGGACCATTATCTGAAAGAATTCACTCTAGACAAGAATGCTAGAATACCACTCGATTGAGGAGGAAGTATCCAATAGCGGTTGCAAAGGTGCTAGCAAGAGCACCAACTTCTACCCAACAAATCAAGTAGTCAAAAGCAATAATCACATACTCATTGCCAGCAGTCGACCGTGGAAAAGGTCCCATAAGATCAAATGCCACCAACTCAAATGGACGGGAAACTGCAATTGACTCCAACCGTCCTTCCATGGCATGAGGGGGAGTATTATGAGCTTGGCACCAAACGCAGCTATGCACATACTGGATAACATCACGTCGCATCTCTGGCTAATAGAAAGACTTGCATAGCTTTTCGGTTACACGACGATGTCCCATATGGCCACCTAGAATAGGAGAATCATGGTAAGCATGGAGAAACTGTGGAATAAAGATAGAAGGCACCACTAGCTATAAATGATCATCAGGATCCGTCCCCACAAAATAAAGAAGGCCTTCTTCAAAACGATATTGAGAATGTAAATGCCAGAAAGGCAAGTTATTAATAAGTGATGCAAGATTCTCAAACCCCTCTTGAAGCCTTCGAATCCATGGCTGAAGCTTTTGAGCCTCGCGAACCTCATCAAAAGAAGGTAGATCTTGCTCTACGCATTGTGGATATTGAACGTCAAGTATAGCAACCACCAACAGCACAGAATCCTTGTCTAGAAAATCCACAAATGCTGGAACAACAGACTTGTCAGAAACATGAGAAGAGAGTGGAGAAGGAAGAGAAGCTTGAGAAAGGGCATCAGCATCAGCCATAGAACTCCCTGGGTGATGAATAACATCAAAATCATATATCTGAAGTTTCAAAGCCCACCAAGCAATACGACCAACTAGGTTCTTCTACTTCAGTAATGAAGTAACGGCAGTATGGTCACCTTTAAGTAACGTCCGAAAACCATGTAGATATGTATGAAGTTTCTCGAAACCCTAGACTACTGCTAAACACTCATTCTCTGTTGTGGAGTAGTTCATCTCCGCTGGTTGTAATGTACGGCTTATATACGCAATGGGATGGTGCTGACCAAGCACACTCGAGCTTTCTTGCATCAACACTCCTCCAAGATTAATGTCAGAAGCATCCACGTGCAAAATAAAAGGTCGAGTGTAGTCAGGATATGCCAAAACCGGAGGAGTCGTCAATAACTCTTTGAAATCCATGAATGCCCACTCACAATCTGGAGACCAGATGAAAGATGATGTTGATGACTTTAACAACGCTCGCAATGGTGCAGTGCAATCAGAAAGATGATCCACAAAGTGATCTAGATACTGCATATTACCCAAGAACCATTGCACATCATTTACACACCTCGGAGTAGGGAGCTTTAAAACAGCCACAAGTTTGTCAAGATCAACTTGCAAACCCTCACGAGAAATATGGTACCCAAGATAAGTTGTGTCCTTGGACCTAAACATGCACTTTGACCACTTCAGCTTTAAACCAACATCCCGTAGTCAATCCAACACTTTACGAACATCACAAATGTGCTCCTCCTACATCCCCTCCGAGTGGATCAAGACATCATCAATGAAGTCAGCAGTCACTTCCAGCATATCGCAAAGAACCTCATCCATCATTTGCTGAAAAGTTGTTGGAGCATTATTTAAACCAAATGGCATCACCAAGAACTCATACAATCCAAATGGTGTATGTAAAGTAATCTTAGGAATATCTTTTTCAGCCATCAATACTTGTTAGTACCTAGAAGCAAGATCTAGCTTGGTGAATTAACAACTTCGCCTTAGACGATCCAAGAGATCAGTAGTGTGAGGAAAAGGGTACACATCCGAGATCATCACTTCATTTAACGAACAATAGTCGATACAAAAACAAATACTCCCATCAGGCTTCGTCACAAGATGAGGTTCACATGCCTAAGGACTCTGCGACTTTTGAATAACACCCTTCTCCAACATCTTCTTAATGTTTGCACGTAAAATCTTGGGTGACCGACGATGAACAAGAACCTTGATTGGATGAGCATCCCCAATTGATGACGTGTGGCAATCTTGGCCCCAAATGATAGGTCAAAGTCAAAAAGATCAAAATACTCCTTCATAAGCCAGTCAACTGCTGCAACACAAAGATTGTTAGAGGGATCAGAAAAGGGAAGAGTAGAACAAGATGGGAACATAGGAGGAAATAATGGGGGGACAAAAGTAATGGAAGCAGAGGTAGAAATAAAGGGACGAAGAAGTACAAAAGTGAGAGAAATTGATGAAACATAAGGAAGTATGAGAGAAGGGGGAGAAGTCTCAAAGTCACACTTGGCATGATTGCACTGCAACTAATCCATACCAAGGATGAGGTCAAAAGCTTGACTTGGCACCACCCACAAGGACTGCAACTCAAGCTCGAGATCGCCCACACGCACAACTAGGTCTGCCTCATCCCGTGCATATGCATGTGTACGACCGTTGCAACCGTTGCCATAAAGAATGAAAACTGGTTCTACCACACGATGCAAGTGTAAACGGCAACATGTGGCAACAGATCGAGCAATAGAAGATAAACTCGAACCTATATCAACCAACACGGAGAGAATAATAGGAGACCTCTTATTATAAAAACGAGCTTGGAAAGTAAACACTAGATGAACCGGTGCTAAGTGAACCCCTTGATGATACTCCCGAAATAAAGATGAGGGGTCACTGACTTATTCACGCAAGGTCCCTCCGTTACTCGTGCGACTCCTCATTTCCCAGATGCATCGCAGTGTCTAGACCTTCCACTGTAGCAGCACCAATAGGATGTTGTTAACGCCAAGGTCTCCACCCAAGAAATGGAGGTCGCCAATCCGAAAAATGCCAACAACACCGATAAGTGTGCCGAACTTCATCACATGCCCAACAGCAAATGTCACGGCCATAACCACATCCTCGCCCTTGTCCTTGGACTCGAGCAGCAGCAGCATCAACCTCCATTAGAATAGGACCATCGCCTACAGGAATAGGAGCGGAAGGACAGGTAGCGAAAAGTGGAAGAGGCGAAGTCTTATAACATTGTGCCAAACGAAGAGCATCGTCAATGGTGGCTGGAACAAGTGCATGTACAAGTCCGATAAGATCTTGACGAAGTGCTAGCCACAACATTCCTAGCTTGATCCACTCCAACATATTTGGCTCCGCACGAAGCAAAAGACTTCGGAAACAAACGCCAAGTTGCATCACCGACTCAGATGGCCCTTGGCGAAGACGATGCAATTGTTGGAAGGCATCATCACAATCGTCGACATGTCCGAATGCGCGTTTGAAAACGTCTGGGAGAACACTCCAACCCACAAGTGGCTACACTCAAACCATTGTACCATTGCAACGCCGTCTCCTAAAGACATGTGGGAAACTCACGTAAACGTCGAGTATTATCCCAAGAATGATATGTGGCAATCATTGCGAAGTGATTGAACCAATGGTACACATCATCCCCAGGATTTCCGTGAAAAAACTCTGGCCAAACACAAGGATTGGCACCAAGAGTAGGAGGAGTTGTACCAAGTGCCATGAACGCTACCATCAACTGAGTTTAGTTGTTCAACTGTAAATGCATAGCATCAAGTAATTGTACTAACTGCTACTCTAGAGTTAAAGGAGGAGATTACTAATCTGCCATGAAGATGAACGAAAAGAAAAGAGTGAAAGAAGAGGAATGACAAAAGCTAGAAGGAAATGGGTATCTAGACAATGCAAAAAGCTAAATATAAACCAAAATCCTGAAGGGAAAGAACAAAAAAAAGGAAATGGAAAAAGCTAAATCTAAACGATGCAAAAGTTAGATCTATACCAAAATTTCAAATCCAAGCACTCTTCAGAGACAATCAAAGGTGCCCCTCACCTTGGTGATCAAAGGTGCCCCTCACCTCCACTAATGTGAGTGCATGGAATATAAAAAGGGAATACAGAAAATGTGCATATCAATTAGCCAAAAAACCCTAATTTATATACATGAGCAAATGGTCTGGATTAAAATTAATCCAACGGCTACCAAAATCCCACTATGCTAATATTAATATATAGCATTGTAACCATACACTTGGCCGTCAATCTGTGTTTTTTATATTAAATATTTAATAATTTAAATAGCATGTTAACTTCTTAAAAGATTTTGTTAAAAATTTTCCTTGTGAAACTCAAATTTTGAGTTGGATATTTGGTTAAATTCACTTGATAATGCATCAAGCTCCCTAGCTAAAACCATAGGTCCACAATAGAAAACACCTTCATAAGCAAATGCAATAAGAAAGAAAAGAAAAAAGAAAAAGAGAAAATTTCACTCACCTATTCTTGAGTTTGTATGAATGTTGGCAAGCTTGGAAAATACTTTATACCATTTGGGTCGAGCAAAGTGAGTTCTAACCTGAGTATCAGTAAGAGATTTATTAAGCAATCAAAATGAAATCAAATCAAAGATCTTACTCTTGTTCCCGAGACAATGTCAACACCATTCTTTGCGTGATGAAAAGCTTGCATCATTGTGATGAGAGCTGAGCGAGCATCGCCTTCTTCATAAACGCTGGTGAGATAGTTATGCATCTCAATCACTGCCTGTAAGAAAAATATTTTAGTGTTGTATTGTCATGATCAGGCATCACCTTGTTGTCAATCTCGGCAACTTCGTTTAACACTCCTCTAAACCACTCGAACGAGCCTTGCTCTCGAGTGACCCAGTAGAAATATGCATTCGTGGGACATTGCAGCTTTCTTTCACTTCGTTTCCTGGGGCTTCGAATCTGCTTCATCGACAAGAACTGGCAAAACAATAATAATATATAAATAATAATAGGTATGAAGATATAATACCTGTTGTTGATCTGCCACTTTTATTTGGTTTGCATGTCTTTGAGAACGCTGATGAAAGGCGTTGCTCCAATTCCAATTCCAACGAGCAATAAAACATCATATTTCTGATAATCTTGGGCTGGAGCTCCATAAGGTCCATCGATTAGCAGCTTTGGGAATCTGAGAGAAAGCTTGCAATTTTAAAGTTTAAAGTAACCTTGGAGTAGTGTACCTGTGTCTTATGATGCTAATGTCGCTGCTCTCACTCTCCAGAACATTTTCTTTCTCTGCAAGACCTTCAAGTGCCTGGAAAACAAAAGAGATGTTTTGAACAAACCTGAGCAAAATAACAATACTATCGTAAGTGTTTTCTACTTACATTGGAGAAAATTCTTCTAAGCTCCTCCGTCCAGTCCCCCACAGTTCGTATATGCACAGTTAAATGCCTGTCACTAGGAGCGGAGGTAATAGAAAATGGATGCCTGAAAACAATAAACTCTAGAGTAAATAGCTTCCAAAATAATGTTTTCCTTAACTTACCATTCAAAAGGAGAGATGGATATACATTTGATAAATAGATACATGCCACTTTTATACTTGAACGTAGGTGGCTTTGTCATCTTCAAGGCAAGAACATTTCCAGGATGAATAGCAGCCTTCATATACACGAAAGAGTTTAACAGCAACTTCCACAAATCTAATGAGACTTCTCACCTTGACAACTTGTACTGTGAAATGTCTAGCTCGAAATGCTGAGAGGATCCTCTCCACTGAGTAAAGAAGCACTGGCACAGAGAGATACATCCATGTCTACGAGATCAAAACTCATACTTTGGTTAGGACAGCATGCTGGGAAAACAAACTGTAACCAGCTTACTGATTTCGCCACCCAGTCGTTTGTGAGAAATAAGAAGATGGAGTGAAGCAGCAAAAGCACGTAAACCACCATGAAAAGGTGGTGGGAGTACCAAAATGCGTTAAACCCCGTCAACCTGTGCAAGGGCCAAGGGAGCCTCACGAGATTCCTACGAAACCATCTCGTTGCCAGCACGAACGCGATGCTCATCATAATCACCATGCTAATCCCTGTAACACCCTCTATAGAAACCAAGATCCCCACGTAAGTTGGCTGCTTGTAGTGGAACCCTCGCCCGAGATAGATCATAAACTCTTCCTCGCTCGCCCGAATGATCCTGGGAAAATCACACGCGAGGTGAACCGTCGCGTGGATTCCAACCCCCGCAACGATGGCTCCTGCAATTATCTGCAAACGTATCAGTCACCAGGAACTTAGAACCCACAGCACGAACTTTCTACTTCACTATTTGGTTCTCAGAAACTTTAGTTCTAAACGCTTGCCTTGTGGAAGTTTAGACTGTCATCGAATGGAACAACACTTCCCACGATCGTGGAGCGAAGCCAAGTGATGGTGTTCCTGCAAACCGGGAGGAGAACCAAAGCCATGTTGAGCTTGAGTGTCTCGGCGGCTCCTTTGGCCGAGCAAAGGCAGTAGCCGAGAAGCTTGAAAGCCGAGGTTTGCTTGTATGCGAAGAACTTCCAGAGAAAAAGCCCACACATTGCAAAGATCCACAAGCCCACCACCCAGACACGCTGCCAGTTCTCGATGACGAAGTATTTGATCTTCCTAGCCCAGAGTATGATCTTCCCGGATTGTTCAAATGCCAGAGTCTGGCTCCAAGTTTGGCTGTAATTGAGATAACCATCTTGTGCTAGTGATGCGAATTGTCCCAGCATCAAACTCTCGAGCTGCCAGAGCTAGCAAATCAAAGAAGAGATTGAAAAGGTGGTGAAGGTTTTATAAACTTGAAACTTACTTCAATGTAGCCGATTCCGCTAGGATCCAGCTCTTCCATGATGAGGGCCGCATATTCCTCGGCTTGCTCGTTGAGCTTTGATAGCTTGTTGGCCGAAGCGCTGAGAATAATAATCTGGGACGAAAACCAAAGACAGAGTAGTGTATTTAAGATAGAAGTGGAACCTATCAGCTAAATTCCACGCACCTCTTTCACTTCTTCCTCGGTGATACGTCCATCTGCGTCCTTGTCACACCTAAATTATAGGAGAACAAGATAGAAAACGATAAGAAGGTGGCGGGCAATGAGATTATTTAAAACGTGAGAAGAGTGGGAGTGATGCGCTTACATATCGAAAAAGATTTGGATCCTGGAGTCGAAGCTTTGGTCCGATAGCTGCAACCAAAACTCGTAGAGCTCCTCTTTGTTAATGCACTGGAGGTTTTGGTGCTTCCTCCGTGCAAGCGCGTCGAAAAGCTCGCCAGTGAATTCCCTCGAGTCTGGCATCCCTGGAAGAAAAAACCATTGCAAGCTTGAGAGATTTCAGCCGAGAAATCAGATAAAAGAAAAAGAAAAGTTTTATGTGAGCTTGGGAGGAGAAGAACGCAAAATGGGGAAGAACAATGTCAAAAGTTTGGAAACGTGTCAAGAAATTCTTGCTATGGACCACGAGAAACATGTAGAACATGTAGAGGCAATCCAATCATGCAAGAACTTTGATCCATCATGGAAATTTGTGAGTGTGTGTGTGTGTGTGTGTGTGTGTGAGAGAGAGAGAGAGAGAGAGAGAGAGAGAGAGAGAGAGAGAGAGAGAGAGAGGAATTGGAATTGCTCACCAATGCACAGGCCAAAATCGCCACGATCGAGCATCCCATCCGGCTTGGCGAGCTGTTGAAACCTCATCTCCACCGTCTCCCACACCGCCTTTTGGTCCGTGCTCTCGATCGCGCGGCTGATGTATCGGAGCCCCTGCAACGCAGTCTCGGCCCCGGATCTCGACCGCGCCAGGAACAGATCCCCACTCTGCTGCTTGCGAATTCGCGGCTGCTGCTGCGATGCCGACGTTCGCGACGACACCGCGCTATTGCTCCTGCTCAGCGCCAGGATCTTCACCAGGCGGTCGCGATCCGGCGAGCTGGGCCGCGAACGCGACCTCGATCGCGGGGCGCTCG